CGTTGTCCAGGAGTCCTGGGCGGGAGGCTGGGGGTGAGCCATCCCCACTGCCCCCGCCTGGCGCCCGCCTCCCGCCCCCGCCCGCAGCCTGCAGCGCGCATCCCTTGCCGCCCAGGCTCCCGGGAGCCGCACCGGCCGAGCCGCGGAAGCCGCGGACAGCGCCAGCCGCCGCTGCGGGAACTGCTGTGGTTGCACCATGCGGGAGCTGGCCATCGAGATCGGGGTGCGAGCCCTGCTCTTCGGGGTCTTCGTGTAAGTAGTGGTGCGCCGTGGGCGGGGACCAACCGACCCGGCCTCTCCCCAACTTTCTTTGCGCTGCGGCGTCCCACCGGGGCCTGGGATCCAGGTTTCCTCCTCGCTTGGCGCCCGGGTTGTGCAGTATGGGGTTAAAAGAAACCCTCCTCTACCTTTCTTAGGACCCTAGATGCACAGTGATCCTTGCACGCTGTGACCCTGCGGGGGAAGCGCGACATGCTGGGGTCTAGTCCCTTAAGTAGGCGTCTTCCGCCAGCCGCGCACACCTGTCTGGGAATTTTGACTGTTCCTCTGGACCAGGACGCGCTGTCTGGGAAGTTTCTCCCTCCTGTAATCTTTTGGGGCCAACAGTCGCGGTTTTTGCTCTTGGCCCCATCTCTCTCCGCCCCACGCTGTGTCCAGCCAGGGTCAGGCTAGGTCTCCTGGAATGCCCGGGCTCCTGAGCTCAGAGTCCTACTGAGTGTCTTCCCGGGGGATCGTTTGCTGCACTTCTCCAGCTGGTAAATTGTTGCCATGGAGGGTCCGGCAGGTCTCCGGGCCTCAGCCAGGTGTGGGCTGGGAACCCTCGGAGGGAGCCCTTGTTACCTGTCAGTGTCTTCTCATAGGGGCAGAAGCCTTTCAGGGACAGCAGTGAGCAGTTCAGGTGGCACCTCAGAACAGTAATTTCAGAAGAGGAGGGGACCTGGCGCAGTTCCGTCTGCGATGCCTGTGCTTCTTCACGTGCTGGGGACCTCAGCTCACCAGTCCCCATGCCAAAGCCCTGGGAGCTGTCTCATCTCTCTAGACTCCCTCATTCAAATCAGGGACTAGGCGCTGGCTCAAACCCTCCTGGTAGGTAGCCCTCCTGGAGCACCTGTCACCTGGGCTCCCACATCTGCATTTGTCCCTTCAGTTGTAGGCCAGGTTTTCTCTCTCCTAACCATGGCTTACTGACACACTTTAAATATTAAAGTTGTATGTACTTTCTGGATTTGCCAGGGTCTTTTGGGAGGGGAACCTCACTAAGACAAACAGATGCCACTCTCTGGATTTCTGCCCCAAACATTTCAACTGTGGCATGTGTGTAATGTCAAAGATGATTTCTGTAGCTCTTTGCGTGTGTGTGTGTGTGTGTGTGTGTGTGTGTGTGTGTGTAAATGCGGGATTAAATTCATTCCCAGGGTTTATTCACACCATCAGAAAAGGCACAGAGCTTCCCAGATGCAGGCAAGCCCAACATCTCCTGCCTTCTGACCGAACACTAGTGTTATTCACTGGGAAAAAGAAACAGGAACTTCAGTTGTCCTGATGCATTCACAAAAACAAACCACTTTTCCCTTCTTGTACTCTGTCTTTCTACGTTTGGAACAAACATTTCTAGGAGTGATTGCTGGGTGATTGGATGGGGGCAGTTTCCTGTTGGCAGAGAGGCTAAAACCTCCTTCAATTCTTGTGGGCTAGAAATGATAAAATAGTGCTTAGTACATGACAGAAGCTAACATTTATTGGGGGAAATGTCTGTGTGAAAAAATGCAGAAAAAAGTGAAATAGGCTTTTGGTTATTTGCTGTGATTGCTCTGGGAACTCCCATTTTAAAAGGTCTAACCATATGTAAAATATTTATACCCTTTTCAAGTTTCTCTTCAAAGATTCTTCTAAACACTTATGAGCTGTTTACAGATATACAATGGCTTGTGGAGTGAATTTGAAAACTTAGTTGATATTGTTTATATGCTGACTTCTAAGAATGATATATATTTATTATATTAAATATCCATTTACATTCTTTTCTCCAAAGTTTTCTTTTGTGTTACTTAATGGGAGATTTTCTGTCACCTCCCACTGCAGGACACATGGGCGTTGATTGTATTTTGACATGATTCTTGGCTTTCAAATGAAATTGCAAATATTACCTACAAAGACCAGATTGGCACTGATGATGCAGAATGGGGGTGGCTGTTGTGGGGTGTCTTGGATGCTCAAATCATTAGGCAGATCTCGACGTCCGGAAGCGCTAGGTGCACAGACACAGACGACCCCTTGTTTTCTCAGATAAGCCCCTGGCGCCTGAACAGAGGCTGGCTTTGGGGAGGAAGTTTTCTGCTTCCTTTTGGCAGCACTGTAGTGATGATGAAATTGAGTGAAGATTTAGCATCATGAAGACATGGTCTCCACATCCCTGGGAGGTTTGGGAAGTCCCTCTAGGCAAGCTGAATCTGATCTCCTTGTCCAGTGTAGCTGATATAATTCATCACCTGTTTGTGTTTGGCATGTCCCATTTCCCAAGACAAGAGGCAAGTTTTAGGGTAGAAGGCATATTTTGCCTCTTTGCAAGTTTGCATACTGAGCAAAACTCACCTGGAGACCTGCCTGCTTCCTGACCCCGTTTCTCTGCCTGGATGCAGGAATGCCTTTGAAGCTGACCCACAGACTGCTCCCTATAGATTCTAAGTGAGGGCAAATGAAATATGTTTTGGACCTATGGGTAGAGGGAGTATAAGCTCTCCCTTGCGGCTCTCAAGGAAGAGTCCTTCGATAACAAACCAAGCATGGTGCAAGGCTTTGTGAATTTAAGATTCAGAGAGGAAGGTCTGCGAGAATCTCCACACAAGCTCAGTCAGTGCCTTTGGGCAGCTCTGCTTTGGAACCTGAAACCAACTTAAGAACAACAACAGCAAATAGTAATGCCAATCAGGCTGATAGGAATATCATGTTTAGGGAACATAAAAGGGCAATGTGTAGCTTTGAGGCTGCAGTTAGTGTTCTGAAGCTTGGGGGCCTTCGGGGACCTATTGGTCTTGTTGAGGGACTGGGGCAGAGCAGGTAAAGAAGCACCCAAGATAATTCTATCTGGAGCTAAACCCTGATCAGTAGCTCCGAGCTCCTGGTCCAGCCTTTGCACACCAAGTGTGCTAGCACCAGTACGTCAGTCACCATTACTGTTGTTGCTAATATGGTGACTTGCATGTACTGAGGGACTATTACATGTTTATAGTGATGAAGACTATCAGATTTTGAGGCTGGCGAGATAGCTCAGTGGTTAAGAGTTCATAGTACTCTTGCAGAGGACCCAAGTTCTGTTCCCAGCATCCATGTCAGGTGGTTCACAACCTCCTGGTTCTCCAGCTACAGGGGATTTTACACCCTCTTCTGGATTCTGCCTGTACCTGTGCTTGCATATGTATATATCCACACACAGACACACACATCACATATGCCGTCCAACCTAGTGAAGGGTGTATACTGATTATATTCATTGTAGAGAAACTGAAGGAATTTCCGGTTTCAGCTCTAAGAAGGCATTTCTTAGATCTAATCTTAGGTGCTTAGCTGAGTAGCTGATATTCTCATTGTCCACACTTTGGGAAAAATGGCAGTCAGCTTTAGCCGTTGAAGGATTTACTGTACACATAGAACATGCCATCGGGTTTTGCCTGAGGCTTACCGCACTTGAGGTGGATACTGTTCACTGCCCCACTTTATAGAGAAGCCGAGGTTCAGGAAGGTTGAGAAACATGCCCAAAGATGCTGGCTCAGCTAGCAGGACATGAAAACAGGCAGTTGACCTTGTGTCCCAAATCCACCAACCACTAAGATAATGCGTCTAGCACCAGGTTTGCAGACAGGAGTGCCAGGCACCATATCCTCTGAGTGATTCCCTTTTGTAGCCTGTTACCTCCAGAGAGACAAGTGCATGTGGAACGGATGTCACCTCAGCTCTAAAATCAAGCCTTAGGATGATGCCTCAAAGGTAGAAGGATGGTGAAGATGGGATTTGGACCTGTCAAAGAGTTTTCAGGCTGGATATGGTAAGTTGATGGTCTTCCAGGGAGCACACAGTGGGGTAGAACAGGTGCACAGTGGGCTGCTCTCTGTCATTTCCCCTTATGTAATCACGGATTTTGAAACTCTTGCCTTCCAGTGTTTCTCTTGTCATTCATCCTTCCACAGACCTTTATGTGGTGCCTTTTAGCCTGCACACTTGGTTGCTCTCTTCTTTCCTTTTCAATAGATGACTTGAAATGTTATAATTTCAACAAGATGCAGGAAAACAGTGCTTACACTGCTCCAGGTGACTTGCCTGAGGGAATGGGAAGTTGGCAATTGTTTGGTAGTGACAGTGAGTAGCAGATCTACTGTTACTGTCCCCAAGAGTCCAGTGTAGGACTCTAGCCTAGGCTGGTTGTGGTAGCTGGAGCAAAATGCTCAGTTTTTACTGCAAAAGAGGGATCATTAGTCCAGGGAGGGTTGGGGGGGGGCAGATGCCAGGGAAGGCTGCCCAGAATTGACTACTCACCTAAGCATCAAGTGCCAGGTGTACAAGGCCTGGGCTCAAGGAAATCCCTGCAGAGAAAAGGCCTGGGGGTGTTTAGGTGCATTTTGGATGGGGATCAGCTCACCAGTTGTGGCCTTAGACTGTGTGTTTCAGGGATAAGGTAAGATGTTTTCTGATAGGAAATTAACCTAGGATAAGAATGTGGAAGACCTGCAGGTGTGTGTGTGTGTGTGTGTGTGTGTGTGTGTGTGTGTGTGTGTGGCCCAGAAACCAACCTAGTTGTCATCCTCAGCAAAGCCAACCACCTCCTTTGAGACAGGATCTCTCACTGAACTGGAGTTTGCCAAGCAGGCTAGACTAACTGTCCAGTGAGCCCCAGGGATCCTCATGTCTCCAGGTCTCAGAGCTAGGATTATAACCGGGGCCACCATGCCTCGAATTTTTTACATGCGTCCTGGAGGTTAACTTTTAAGGATTATTTATAATTGCCAGGTCTAATGACAAATACATGCTCTAATATTATACCAGGACAGAGGGGTTACATCTTGTGCCTAAGATTTTTTTCGGTCTTTTTGAAGCAGGGCCCCCCTGCAAGCCCCAGCTGTCCTGGAACTCACTATGTAGACCAGCCTGGCCTTGAACTCACAGAGATCCGCCTGCCTCTGCCTCCTGAGTGCTGGGACTACAGGCGTGTGCCACCATGCCTGGCTGTCCACATATTTTAAAGATAGTGTTTCTCATG